TTCTATACTTACATGTTCAAGTACACCTAGGCTCTATACTTACATGTTCAAGTACACAGTGTTTTCTCATTGAGTAATTCAATAGTTCAGACGTGTTTGTTGTTTTATTAAAAAATTGCTAAAATGCTCAGGAAAAATTAAGTCTTTGACTAACATAAGAAATGAAGATAAATTTAAATTCTAAAAAAATGTATAAATTAGGTTAGGGATGTTTTATTAGTTAACTTTTATTTCTTTGAATTATTTAATTAAATGCAGTATAACTATGGTCCGGATTGTTAATCGAAACTGTATTTTAAATATCTCCTCAATAGGTCATCAGAACGTTACAATACTATACAGTGTTTCCTTTTATAACAATATTTATGCAATGACTGAGTCACAAGTTCTGACAATGTCTGTAAATATCATAACAAAAAGTTTGAATTTCTTGTTCTTCTTTCTTCTGCTTCTTTTTAATTATATGATAACTCAAAAACGAAAACAATGATGTCGACCAACTTTACAGAGATGGCATAGTTTTAAACAGAGTATCCGTTTCCATAGGTAATATTATTAACTAGTAGTAATTAAAAAAAACATCACAATTCTAGTGTAAACGATGTTATCATTACCCCTTGAAGTTAGCTTTCTTACAGAAATTGGTGTTCCTTTAATTAAAAAGCTTAAATACAAGGTGAAACAGGAATTACCAACCAATAATAGATAAACAATAAATATTACAGTTGGAACCTCATTGTATTTAGAACTTGGTTATAAACACAACCTTCCAATGTCTATTGAAACATTGCATTAAAAAAATAACAACAAGCAAACAAGTAAAAAAAATATTTTCAAAATAGGAAGTAAATCAAGGGATGGCTAATATCAGTCCTTTAAAAACAATGCAAACAAGATAGTAGGGATGGTAAATGTATCATCTCTACATAATAGTACAGACAAGAATTAACATATAACAATATATGTACAACTATTCAATCTCAGTTGAGTTGAATTTATCCTATTTTTATCTGTTAACATTCTACTACACCGTGTGCCTGTGGTATTATGTAGGGATGATCCCTACTACCTTGTTGACTTTCTTTATTGATGGATTGATATTACATTTACTTCCTTTTTTTTGAAAAGTTTTTCTTTACTTGTGTAAAAATACTGGTAAACAAGATCCCCCTAAAGTCACCAGATTTCCATTTCAGTCATTCGTATTTACAGTCTGTTAACGTTTTTAATTATATGAACTTTGATGAGCTTGTCTTGTCATATAATCAGTAAAAAGGTTTTTAAATTATTTCAGTTTACCATATAATACAAAACCGTTAGAAGTAACATTAACGTGTCAACAGTTAAAAATGACAAATTTTTACCATGTTCTAGCTTTCCAGCAAATTAAAGCCATCGAAGGACAGGCCGTTACTCTACCCTGCAATGTAAGGCTTCCCGAGAAGAAGGAAGATATTGCTTTAGTGCTCTGGTTTAGAGACGATTCGGGTGTTCCTGTTTACAGTTTTGACGCTCGCTCTGGCTCATTTTACAAAGCAACACATTTTACAGATAATCCTCTAAGCTCACGAGCTCACTTCAACGTAAACTACAAACCTCCTGCTTTAAAAATCGAGAATGTTATCAAAGATGATGAAGGAGAATACGAATGTCGAGTAGACTATCGAAAAGCACGAACTGAAAAATGGAAAATATTCTTGAAGATTATCGGTAAAACACTTTATTTATTGTAATATTGTTGAATAGTAATGAGTTACATGGTGGTATTATCTAATATTCATGATCAACACTTTATATATTGTAATATTGTTGAATAGTAATGAGTTACATGGTGGTATTATCTAATATTCATGATCAACACTTTATTTATTGTAATATTGTTGAACGGTAATGAGTTACATGGTGGTATTATCTAATATTCACGATCAACACTTTATTTATTGTAATATTGTTGAACGGTAATGAGTTACATGGTGGTATTATCTAATATTCACGATCAACACTTTATCTATTGTAATATTGTTGAATGGTAATGAGTTACATGGTGGTATTATCTAATATTCATGATTAACACTATATCTATTTAATATTGTAGAATGGTAATGAGTTACATTGTGGTATTATTTGATATTCATAATCAACACTTTATATATTGTAATATTGTTGAATGGTAATGAGTTACATGGTGGTATTATCTAATATTCATGATCAACACTTTATCTATTGTAATATTGTTGAATGGTAATGAGTTACATGGTGGTATTATCTAATATTCATGATCAACACTTTATCTATTGTAATATTGTTGAAGAGTAATGAGTTACATGGTGGTATTATCTAATATTCATAATTAACACTATATCTATTGTAATATTGCTGAATGGTAATGAGTTACATGGTGGTATTATCTAATATTCATGATTAACACTATATCTATTGTAATATTGTAGAATGGTAATGAGTTACATGGTGGTATTATCTAATTTTCATGATCAACACTTTATATATTGTAAGATTGTTGAATAGTAATGAGTTAAATGGTGGTATTATCTAATATTCATGATCAACACTTTATCTATTGTAATATTGTTGAATAGTAATGAGTCACATGGTGGTATTATCTAATATCCATGATCAACACTTTATCTATTGTAATACTGTTGAATGGTAATGAGTTACATGGTGGTATTATCTAATATTTATGATTAACACTTTATATATTGTAATACTGTTGAATGGTAATGAGTTACATGGTGATATTATCTAATATTCATGATCAACACTTGCCCTACTTTTCTTAGTATTAAACTTTTAATTTGTTGACAATATATCTCGTCCCTGGAAAGTGTCTACTAGAGATAACGATTAATGAACAAAATATAAACTATTGAACATAATTTGGTTAAAATTTCAATTAAAAATACCGTTAATAGTGTTGATTAAACCAATATGTTAAATTTAATATAAGTTAGTTGCTACAATAAGTTTGAAAAATTAAACTTGAGGGTTAAAGTAATTATTATAATATCATACAGTCAGAATGTATAATTCTTAGACTGAACTCAGGCATTATTTCAATATCTTTGCCGGAATTATATCATGATATTAACGAACTTAGGAGACCTAAGTCAATTCACATTACTTCATTGAGTCTATGGTATTTTTTATAAGTGAGCAATAAATTTAACACAGTGTATTTTGAGTTATTACGTTTACCTTTATACAATGTACAGTGCCTCCGAAATCTGTAATCATAATGGACGAAAATGGACAACGTCTCCAGGGGCTGGTTGGACCATTTAACGAAGGATCAATTTTGTTATTAACGTGCGAAGCTGATGGAGGTATTACCATTTATCTCGTTTAATCATTATTTGTCGTCACGAATAATCCTTAAATATGAATTATAAAATGCAGGGTAGAATCTAATTTAAATTACACTGAGGGAATTATCAATTGTATGAAGGAAAACAAGTACAACAGTAGACACTTTTCCATTGTTTGTAACACAGGAAATTCTATAACAAACGATGTTATTGTTAGAGTTATATAATAGAATTGTGAGCAGTAAACTAAACAGAAACAACAATGTATTCGTAACACTACAAGTCGAATATATATTGTTTATATAGAACAAATGGACACCAGATTTTAATAGCATAAAATTGTTGTTTACTGTATACAGATGTTATATAATAAGTACTAGTGATTTTTTATATGGAATCTGAGGGTCGCAGGTTCGAATCCCTGCCTCCGAATATGCTCGCCCTTTCAGCCGCGGGAGCGTTACAGTTTTACGGTCAATTCCACTATTAGGTGGTAAGATTTATTGAATTTATGATATATCAAGATTCTACTCTTCGAAACATCATCTTAGGGCTGTCTTCAATGTAATGTTGTCTAGTAACAACCGCCATTTTTCAATACAAAGGGGCCCCGGCATGGCCAGGTGGTTATAGCGCTCGACTCGCAATCTGAGGGTCGCGGGTTCGAATCCCCGTCACACCAAACATGCTCGCCCTTTCAGCCGTGGAGGAGTTATAATGTGTCGGTCAATCCCACTATTCGTTGGTAGAAGATTAGCCCAAGAGTTGGCGGTGAGTGGTGTTGGTTTGCTGCCTTTAATCTCTCATTACTAAATTAGGGCTGGCTAGCACAGATAGTCGAGTGACTTGAACGACATTACAAATAAGTCAACATTATTTATGAGTTTTTAAGTCATTTTTAACTCACCGTATGGTAAACTAAATTAATTCAGGTAATGTCAGAATATAATTCACACACGTAAATTGATATAGGTTGATATATGGTGAGTTAAAAACGACTCAAAATAACCCATAAATAGTATATAATTGATTGATTGATTGAAGCTAAGCACAAAGCTACACAATGGGCTATCTGTGCTCTGCCCACCACGGGTATCGAAACCCGGTTTCTAGCGTTGTAAGTCCGCAGACATGCCGCTGTGCCACTGGGGGGCAAATAGTATATAAACATCACCATTATAAGAAACCTAACTGCATTTCTTCGATTTGCTGACACAAATGTAAATATTGATCAAATAATCTAATATACAAACAGGTAGTAAAACGTACATTGTTCTATGTTTACCTTATTGACTTAGTGATAAAACTCGAGTATGTCTGTGATCTTTATCGAGTCTTATAGACCTGGGAGGGTCAGGTGTTTTTGACCTCTTCCTCCCAACTCGAGGTTTTGTTTTGAGTTTCGCGCAATACTACACGAGGGCTATCTGCGCTAGCCGTCCCTAATTTAGCAGTGTAAGACTAGAGAGAAGGCAGCTAGTCATCACCACCCACCGCCAACTCTTGGGCTACTCTTGTACCAACGAATAGTGGGATTGACCGTCACGTTATAAAGCTCCCACGGCTGAAAGGGCGAGCATGTTTGGTGTGACGGGGATTCGAACCCGCGACCGTCAGATTGCGAGTCGAGCGCTATAACCACCTGGCCATGCAGGTATTGAAAAATGGCGGTTGTTACTAGGCAACATTACATTGAAGACAGCCCTAAGAAAAGTAGAATCTTGATATATCATAAGTTCAATAAAAGCTCGTGAATTTAGATTAGAACAGGACAACCAAGACAATTTCTACTTAAACGTACAATGTCGTCAGATATCAACAATGTACTTACTCGATGAAAGATATCTTTTAGTTTTCGTTCAGACTTTTCTCTCAATAGGAAGTCCCAATTTATTAAAGTGACCTAAATAACGACCTTGTTCTTTAAATTATAAAGTAACGTTGTTGTTTATTGTGATTCTTGAGTTTTGAAGAACATTTCACTGTAAGTTTAAGTCATGGACGTTATCGGATGGGAGTTGTCACGGTTGATAGCCACTGATAAAGAAATATGAGCTTCATGTAATAAGTCAATAATATAAATGAAACCAATGAATGCAAAACACGTCTTCCTAGGGGCTGAGTTTCATGTAATAGTAGTCTAAATGTAAACAATGGCTAAAAAGACTTCTTTCCGAGGGCTGAGCTTCGTGTAATAGTAGACTAAATGTAAACAATGGCTAAAAATATTTATTTCCGAGGGCTGAGCTTCGTGTAATAGTAGACTAAATGTAAACAATGGCTAAATATAATTTCTTTCCAATGGCTGAGCTTCGTGTAATAGTTGACTAAATGTAAACAATGACTAAAAAGATTTCTCTCCGAGGGCTGAGCTTCGTGTAATAGTAGTCTAAATGTAAACAATGGCTAAAAAGATTTCTTTCCAATGGCTGAGCTTCGTGTAATAGTAGACTAAATGTAAACAATGGCTAAAAAGATTTATTTCCAACGGCTGAGCTTCGCGTGATAATTCAATATTCTAAATGTATCCAACGGCATTAAGATGACAAATATATAACCAAATTTGTTGTGTTATTTCATCTTATATTTTACCGGATTAAAGTTTCATTTTAGAATTTGAAGTATCCAATATCCTTAGGCGATCCACCTCCAGCTGTGACCTGGTGGCAAGAATCTATTATATTAAACAGTGATTACATCATTACGCCTTTGAAAATATCTCGGAATGAATTCATAATTGAGGCTCTAAAGAGAGAACATCTGTGGGCTAAGTTAACATGCCAAGCTTCCAATACAAACTCGACTTCTCCTGTAACCGGCTCTATTCTGTTAGATTTAAATCGTAAGTGACACACGCTATTGTTTAATATATTTTTGTAGGGTACGTGTAGTATATATATAGCTGTTAATTTTGATGATATCTAGTGTAGTACATTAAGGAGTTTAATACCAACAAAAGGTACTGAGTTGCATTTGATTATAGTTCCATTTTTTACAGTATTTATTTATATATCACGAAAAATCAGGCACCGCAAATAAAACATGCATAAAATGTATTAACCAAAACTATTGTACTTAGTAATCTTGAATTAACAACTAATACATATTTATATACGAGTTTCAAAAGAACAAAAAAAAATGTTATAGTTTCCAACTACAAAAATCATGGGAGTTTCTTATCATTAGGTATTCATAGCTGGATATTTAGACATTTATAAACCACATTAAAAATAGATTAAACTCTAGCGCTTTTGAAATGTGAACATGTTTTCTTCAAGACAAAAATGGCATGATTTTTTCCTTTTAAATGCTATTTACCGAATGTTTTATAAAAGTTTTGTTGTTGTTTTTTCTATCTCATAGATTTAAATTTACGAACTGTAAAGATTCAAATTCTAATCAAACCATTTCCTATTGAAATCAGGTCTTCGTGAAGTCTAAATTTTACAGCATACCAGAAAAACATAGATTTGTTATTTATAGTTTTGAAATCAATATTTTTTATTGATACTTATGAACTTTTGTTGTGTTAATTTTTTTCCGTTTGTTTCTCATTTTCTTGTAACTATATCGTCAATCGTTATTACTGTTATACGATCACCTAAGCCTAATTAGTAATTTTTCAACTAGTTACTGTTTATTGACTAGTGTATCTCGTTGCTAATCTGCTACTATCTTCAGGGAAATCCCGAGAAGGATTATTTACTGTGTTGGTAGTGGACGGAATGCGATTTCGGGTTTTCTTGGTCGAGTGGATATTGCATCAGCCTTCCTTAAAGTAGACCCAGGATTGAATCCCGTCCAATACCAACATTCCTTCTTAAGATTTCCCCGAAGATGAAACAGTTTAAAATGCGAAATGTAGGGTAAAAACTAATTGGTAATTAGTATCTATTTAAAAAGCTACTAATTAATAATTAAGCTTAAGTAATCTTATAAGCTGCTAACGATTGATATCTGATTGCCACAACCATACCGCGAGTACTTAAGAAAAAGTCAATAGATTTTATACAGTGTTTATTGTGATAGTTTCCAAATCTCTTACTGAGTTAACTTATGAGCTATTGTTTGTTGTATATTCTTTATTTTTTTAAAGTGAAACCTTTACACGTCCGTATAACATCAAGAAGACAGCCTCTATCGGCAGGTCGTAGAGTTGAAATAGAATGTCAATCAGTGGGTTCCAGACCCCCAGCTAGAATGACTTGGTGGAAAGATGGAAAGAAAATATTCTCCGCGTCAGCGATAACCACCCCAGAAAATATCACAATCAGCAAGTTAATTTTTACTCCAGAAATAGATGATCACAAAAAGGTATTGACTTGTCGGGCCGATAATCCAGACGTCGGAAACAGTGTCAAAGAAGCAGAATGGAAACTTGACGTAATTTGTAAGTTGCTCAAGCTTTTTACCCTTATTAAATCAGAAAAAAATATATAAATAATATTTATTATAGAATACTCACATAGCGTTATTCTTATAGCAAAGCCACATCGGGCTATTTGCTGTTTCCACTGAGAGGAATCGAACCCCCGATTTTAACGTTTTTAATTCGAGGACTTACCGCAGTCCCAACGGGGGACTCTTACATAGCATTCAAAGGATTTTTCTTACGACACAAAATTTTGTTTGTTTGTAGTTAAGCGTAAAGATATACAATGGGCTATCTCTACTGTGTTCACCACGGGTATCGAAACTGACTTTTAGCGTTATAAACCTTTAGACTTACCACTGAGCCATTAGGGGCACATAACGTTTTAATCTCACTTTTCCGTATAAACAAGTTCTAGTATGTAGTTTCATGGTTGAAATAAACAGTGGAATAAAACTGACTTTATAACTAGTTTGAATTTCTTAGAACGTAATGGAAATTTAGGCATAAGATACAATGGCGTTATAAGATTATAAGATATAATAGCGTTATAGGATCATAAGATATAATGGCGTTATAAGATCATAAGATATAATGGTGTTATAGGATCATAAGATATAATGGCGTTATAAGATCATAAGATATAATGGCGTTATAGGATCATAAGATATAATGGCGTTATAAGATCATAAGATATAATGGCGTTATAGGATCATAAGATATAATG